GTCAAACTGCAATTTTTTTTTTTTTGATGATGAAAAAAATATTTAGTCTTATTTTTAAAAACGAAATTTTAACGCTATTTTTGAAAAACAAAATATTGAGCTAATATTTGTGAAAAACGAAATATTGAGCGCTAGTTTTTAGAAACAAAATATTCGCATAATATTTTTGAGAAAAAAAATTACTGAATAACATTTTTTTTTAATACTGCAAATAGGATAGAAAATAAAAAAATTGACTTTTATAAAACATTAGAAAATATGAGTAATTGAAATATTTTTTAATTGAAAAATGTATTGAACAGTGAATATTTTTCTGTTGTTTTATTTTCTGTTTTTTTTTTAAATTTTTGTTTTTCTTTTATTTCAAAATTTTTTGTGCGAATATTTTCAAGGAATTGAAAGGAAAGTAGAAAAGTTAAAGGAGCCCCTGTTTTTTTATTCACATAAACAACTAATCAGAATTTAATTTAACTTTAAGTTTCTTTATATAAGTAAAACTGCATTCATTATATTAACTTTTCAAAGTTTCCATTACAGTTAGAGTATTTTATTTTGGAGTTTTACAAAATAGACAGCTCTAACTTTTCGCCTTTCTCTATTTTTCTTTTCACTCGTTTATTTTGTTTCAAGAACAACAGGCTCGTTGTTTTTTTTTTCCTTCACTATTTTTTTCCCCCGAACAATCCTCTTTTTTTAAGTAGATTTAATGATTTAAAGTTGAGATAAATAAAGTAAAAAAAAATTGTTTCGTCGAATTTTTTATGCAAACTTTAAATTAAATTCTCTCTCTCTCACTACAAAGGGAAATATTTTTTTGAAAGAAGTAAATTAAAATTGAAAAAAACTAATTAAAATTGAAAAAAATGAATTAAATTTTAAAAAAGAATGAATTAAAATTGCAAAAAAGAAATAGAAAAAATAAAATCAGAATTGAAAAAATAGATTAAAATTGAAAAAATGAATTAAAAATTTTAAATTGAAAAAAAATAGATTGAAGGAAAATAAGAAACTAAAAATACAAAAATAGTAAAAAAAAAATGTATTCCAATTTCTATAAAAATTCCTAATCGACACGAAAAGTCGTGTAACTTTTTCCCCTGAATAGCTTGAACTAAAAAATGGCTATTGTTATTGGCAGGTGTTTCGCTTAAACTACAAAGAACGTGGAATCTCAAGTATAAAGTGAGCATTATATCCAAAAACAATGAAAGTCGTTTATTCCCTCGTGCTCCGAATTCTGAAAAGAATTGGACACTTTTAATTTAACTTTCCTCATTTTTCAAGCCACTAATGAAGAGAGCTAATTTTCAGACTATTCCTCTTTCTCCCCCTCTTCTCCCTTTTTTTTCATGTTCAACACACATTCCATTCGCCCTCTCTCTTTAATAAAAAAAAAACTTTTTCAAACAAAACACCTTTTTACTTAATTTAACATTCTTCATTTTTTTGTCATTCAAAAATTCAGCTTTTTTTCCTCTCCTTTTTTTAGTCAGGGTTGCCACACTTTTTCAAATTCCCTGACTTTTCCAGGTTTTTAAAATGAAATTTATTCGAAAACATCAATAACTTCATTTTTAAATAAATATTTAATCATTATTATTTTTTTATAGAAAATTTTTCTTTAAAAATTATTTTCATTATTTCGATTATTCATTTCTAGAATTTACAACTAAAATTCTTCTTTAAGTCAATTTTTTTTCAATAATTTTTGAAAACGTTCTTTTTTAAATTTTCAAATCCATTTGTTAACAATTTCATTTTACGAAATTTCGAATTATTCTAAAATTCTTCAATGAAATATATCAGAAATTATTAAGTAAGATATTTGTACGAAGATTTTTATTATTTATAAAAATAATTGAATTATTAAGAAGAATTCATTATTTTATGAAAAGAATTGAAATTTTGCATATTTTATTAAAATTTTTGTAAATAATTGAATTTCTCACTAAAATTGTGATGAAAATAATTGAATTTGTGCGAAGAATTTCAATGTTTATAAAAATAATTGAATTCTAGTGAAGAATTCATTTTTTATGGAAATAATTGAATATTTACGATGAATTTTATTATTTAGGAGAATAATTGATTTCTTGCAACGAATTTTTGTTACATTTTTTTTAAATAATTGAAATCAGGTGAGAAATTGTATTATTTATGAAAAGTAATTGAATTCCTGCTCAGAATTTTTTTAAATTTTTAATAAGAATTGAATTATTGCAAAGACTTTCGTTATTTATAAAGATAATAATTGAATTCTGGACAAGAATTTCAATTAATATTTTTGAAAATAATTGAATTTCATAGAAGAATTTCATTATTTACAAAATTAATTAAATTCCAGTGAAAAATTTTTTTATTTAAAAAAATAATTGAATTCTTGTAACGAATTTAAAAAAAATTTTTTTAATAATTGAATTCTTTTGAGAAATTTTATTAAAATAGTAGATTTCGAAAATATTTGAATTTTAGCGAAGAATTTAATTATTTGTGAAATGTAATTGAATTTTTTCAAAAAACTTTTGAAAATAATTACATTTTTCGAAGAATTTGATGAAAATTGCATCATTTTTTATAATATAAGAATTCAATTCTTTATTATGAAAATAGTTAAATTCATTTAAAAAATTCTTATTAAAATTGACTTGAAAATAATTGAGTTCTTGCAAAGAATTTTATTATTATTCAAGATAATTGATTTTTTTTTAGAAAAATTTTGATAAAATTGAACTGGAAATAATTGAATTCTTCTAAAGAAATTTATCTTTTCTAAAAATAATAAAATCCTTTGAAGGAAATTTATTAAATCTTTAAAAATAATTTAATTCTTTCAAAAATTTTTAATTAAATTCTATTAAAAATCATTGAATTTTTGCAAAGCTCTTATTATTTATGAAAATAAGAAATAATGAAAAAAATATAATTTTTTAATAATAAAAATTCTATTGTTTCGCAGAAAATTTAAATTTATTCGAGGAATTTAATTAAAATTGTATTAAAACTAATTGATTTCTTCTAAATAATTTTATTAAAATTGTCGAAAATAATTGAATTCTTTTAAGGAATTTTATTAAAATTAAAAAAGAATTGAATTCTATCAAGAAATTTAATTGAAATAAATTTAATTCCTCTAAAGAATTTTTAAAGTTGTATAACAATAATTGAAATCTTGTGCAAAAATTGTATTAAAATTTTTGAAAATAATTTAATTGTTGGGAAGAAAATTTAAATTGTTTCGTAGACTTTATTTAAAATTGTAGTAATTAATTGAATTGTTTATAATAAATTTTGTCGAAATTTTAAAAAATAATTGAATTCTTTGGAGGAATTTCATTTAAATTGTATTAAAAGTAATTAAATTCCTGCGAAGAATATTGTATTGTTTATAAAAATCATTGAATTTTTGCGAAGAATTTTATTATTTATAAAAATAATTGAATTCTTTAGAAATTAAATTTGTATAAAAAATAATTAAATTTCTGTGGAAAATCTTGATTATTATTTATGAAAATAATTGAATTGTTTAAATGAATTTTATTTATATTTTTGAAAATAATAAACAACAATAATTAATTATTAGATAATATTGAGTGAATTTTAAAAAATTTTTGAATCTGAAATAGTTTAAAAATTAAAGTTGATATTTGATAATAAAAAATTTGAAATTTGCAAAAGAATAATAAAAAAAAATTAAATACTGCATTTCGCGCGCTAGTGTAAATAATAAAAAAAGTTAGCACAATAAAAAAAAATTACTCCAGAATTGTAAATGTTTGATTAAAAAATTAATTATTGATTGAGTTTTAAAAGTAACTAGTGATTAATATTGTTCAAAAAATTGAATAAAAATATAATGGTGTGTAAATTTGAGATTAAAAAGAAATTAATTACTGGCTCTCATGTTTCCATAAAAAATCAGAAATTTATATAGAAAATACTTAAAAACAAAAGCGAACAAAGTAGAACATTTTTGAAAATATTTTAATTCTTTAAAGAAATTTAATTAAAAATATATTGAAAATAATACTTAAATTCTAATAAATAAAAATGTAGCAGAAGAATTTTAGTTATTACAATTTTTTAAAAATCTAAGTTTTTTAAAATTTCTAATTAAATGCATTTAAAATTGAAATTTTACAAAAACACAATAACTTTTGAAAACAAAAATTTTCCAGTATTTCGATAAAAATTCCCTGACTTTTCCATGTTTTCCAGGTAGCGTGGCAACCCTGTTTAGTTAATTCAATTTTTTTGTTCACTTTATACAAAATAAAAATTTATCCAGTTTTAAATTCCTAAGTGAATTTTTTTTCTAAAGTTCGCGTGGATTTCCAGTGAAAACAGTTCTTAAATAAAAGAGGCAGATAAGAGTTTCAACTCTAATGGAATAAGAAACACGATAAAAAAGAATTTATAAACCATGCACTAGGCCAGCTGCCTCTCTCGAATTTTCAAATAGAATTCTCTCGTGACTTTAAACTTTAAAAAGCTGCGAGATGCGAACTCCTAAAACTTAAGAATCGAATTATTGATATCATGATCCGGTTTGTTGCCGGAAGTTTTATTTATTATTCCGCTTCCTTAAACATAAGAATTTATGATTAAATGATGCTTTCTTGTTTTTTTTCTCATTTCACTTTTTATCGATCAAAAATATTCAAAAATAAGAAAAAAAGTAGAATAAAATTTTGTCCTACGAAAAAAGTTAAAATTAAAGAATCAAATATTTCGTTGAAATAATTTTTCTTTACCAAACAAAAAATTCTGATTAAAAATATTTCCTACGAAAAAAGATAAAATTAAAGAAACAAATATTTCGCTCAAATAATTTTTCTTTACCACAAAAAAAACATCTCTGATTAAAAATTCGATTTGTTCCAAATTCGAAAGTATAGTGGAAAAAGTAAAATTCTAATTTGAATTGTTAAATTAAATTGCAGATAATTATCTGCAATCAAATTATAATTTGATAAATTTTTATACTCACAGGTGGTCGATGATCATTTTAAAATAATTATACTTGCAGTTTTGGCGAAACTTTCTCAACGACAATAGTTTTATGTGAATGGTTGTTCCTCTCGATTGTGGACGAAATTCTGTGAATATTTCACAAAAAATTGGTCGTTTCGAATAATTAAAGTTGGTTGTTTGCATTAATTCCTCTCTTTTTCGATGATAATCTATCGTTGATGAAAAATATGTTACTTCCATTTCTGGTGCTTCCTAAAACGGAAAATTCGAATTAATATGTTTTTTTAACAAGTTTATTTATTGTTATTTTGCAAATTGCAATAACTACTTCTTCACTGATTAACTAATTAATTATTATTGCTTATTACTTATTATTTCAATTATTTTCAATTTTAATAAAATTTCTCGAAATAATTTAATTTTTTCATAAACAAAAAAATTTTTCTCGAGAATTTCAATTATTTTCAATTTTATTAAAATGTCTCGAAAAAATTCAATTCTCTCACAAAAAAAACAGTTATTCACGAGAAATTCAATTATTTTCAATTTTATTAAAATTTCTCGAAAAAATCCAATTTTTTCAGAAACATGAAAATTCTTGGCCAGAAATTCAATTATTTTCAGTTTTAATAAAATATATCGAAAAAAAATTCCATTAATTGAATAAACAATAAATTTCTTCGCAAGAAATTCAATTATTTTCAATTCTAATATAATTTCTTTAAAAAATTCAATTTTTTCATAAAAACAAAAAATTCTTCGCCAGAAATTCAATTATTTTCAGTTTTGATAAAACATCTCGAAAAAAATTCCATTATTTGAATAAAAAATAAATTTCCTCGCAAGAAATTCAATTATTTTCAGTATATTAATACGATTTCTCGGAAAATTTCAATTATTTTCGAACTTTAATAACATTCTTCAAAAGAATTCAATTATTTTGAATAGAATTTCAATGACATTTCGTAACAGCATTCAATTATTTTCAAAAAAATAAAATTTTTCACAAAAATTCAATTATTTTCATAAATAATAAAATTCTTTGGAAAAAATTCAGTTATTTTTAATAAAATTTTTCGAATCAATTCAATTATTCTTCGCAACATTCACTTATTTTCAGTGTCAATTAGATTCCTCGAATAATTTCAATTATTTTCGAACTATAATAAAATTCATCAAAGAAATTCAATTATTTTGAATACAATTTTAATAACATTTCTCGAAAGAATTCAATTATTTTCAAAAAATAAAATTTTTCACAGGAATTCAATTATTTCCATAAATAATAAATTTTGTACGAAAAAATTCAATTGTTAGAAAATTTTTCGAATTAATTCAATTATTTTCATAAATAATAATATTATCTGCAGGAATTCAATTATTTTCATTTTAATATAATTTTGTGAATGAATTCAATTATTTTTATAAATAATGTAATACTTGAAAGGAATGTAATATTTTTTCAAATTTCTCGAAAGAATACAATAATTTTTAACACAAGTTTATATTACTGGAAAAAACTTTTGAAAGAATTCAATTATTTTTATTAAAATTCTTTGTAAAAATTTAATTATTTTTAATATAATTTTTGTAACTTTTCTCTAAAAAATTCAATTATTTTCTTAAATGTTATATATTTATTAAATATTATTCAATTATTTCCATAAATAATAAAATTCTTTGTCGGAAGAAATTCAATTACTTTCAGTATTAACAAAATTTATTAAAAAAATTCCATTATTTGAATAAATAATAAAATGATTCCTAGAAATTCAATTATTTTCGAATTGTAATAAAATTCTTCAAAGAATTTCAATTCTTTTGACTACAATTTTAATAACATTCATCAGAATAATTCAATTATTTAAAAAAAATAAAATTTTTCATAGAAATTCAATTATTTGCATAAATATTAAAATACTTCGTTGTTTCGTTTTTAGTAGAAATTAAAATATTTTCGAAGTATAATAAAATTGTTTAAAGGAATTCAATTAGTTTGACTACAATTTGAATAACACTTCTCGAAACAATTCAGTTATTTAAAAATAAAATTATTCACAGTAATTCAATTATTCCCATAAATAATATAATACTTCGTAGGAAGTCAATTATTTTTAATAAAATTTCTCGAATCGATTTAATTATTAACAAAGTAATAAGATTCTCCACAGGAATTTATTTTTTAAATATAATTTTAATAAAATTTCTTCGAAACAATTCGATTCTTTTCAACATAATTTTACTAACATTTCGAGAAAGATTTTAATTTTTTTTTAATATAATATATTTTTTCAAAATTAAAATTTTTTTTAAATATAATAAATTTTTTCAAAATAATTTAATATTATTTTCATAAAAATAATAAAATTCCCACAAGAATACAATTTTAATAAAATTTCTAGATAAAGTTAAATTATTTTCAATAATAACGTTACAATTTATTGCGAATAAATAAAATCTTCATCAATAAAATTGCAGTTTACAATAAAAAAAATTATATTTACAGCAATAATGTTACAATTTACTGTAAATAAATTAAATTTATAGCAATAAAATTACAATTCACCGCGAATTTCAATTACTGAAAAGACAAAAATAAATTTAAACGAATGAGTTAATTTCGACATTGTTGACTGCAAATAAATTCGCAATAAATACATTTAAATTTCCACAATTACTGCTAATTTAAATTTGTGAAAAAATAAATAAACCAAAAGCGAATAAGTAAATTTTGATATTCTCGACTGCAAATAAATTACCATTTAGTTCAAATTTCAATTAATGAAAAAAAGAAACAATTGAAAACGAAGGAATAAATTTTGATATTCTCGACTAGGTACAAAATACAAATAAATTAAAATTTAGTTCAATTTTCAATTATAGAAAAAAAAACTGTAAACGAAGGAGTAAATTTTGACATTCTTGACAAATATCGAGTGCAAATTTGAAATTGTCAACATTCTGATCGTGTCAGGTTCGTCGCGTGTTATTCATCTTTGAAACCCAGAGCACCACTTATTCAATGACACTTCATGAATTATTAAAGCAATCGATCTCGAATGTCCAGTGTGAGCAATATGATTTGCCATTTGAACGCCCGAAAATGCTCAATTCGCGCCTCATTCGCTGTTGTTGTCTCTCTCTCTATAATCACTAAACAAAAAAATAACAACATTTTTACAAATAGTATTTTTCTATTTCGCGAGTAATTCTCCTAAAGTTTTTTTAACCTCTCTTGTCGTTTACAATTTTCTTGAAAAATGTGAAAACATCAGTCAAAAAAAAAAAATCCTCAAAGTAGGCCAATTCTTTTTCTTCTTTTCCATTATAAATCGCCGTTTTCAAGATTCAGTTTTCAGAACGAATGCACATTCTTCGAAACTCTCGTTTCTCTATTTCCTTTTTTTCAAACTTTTTTCACTCTGTGACTCGAAAGGAATTTATCGAAGACAAGGAAAAATTTGAATTTCAAGAAAAAAGTCACAGAAAACTTTTTTTTTTATTATCGAATTGAAAAACAAAATTTTGCGGTAAAGAACAAAATTTGCGAGAATGTAAAATTTCCAAAAACATGTTTTTCTCTCTCTCCTTCTCTCTTAACTTTCTTTCAAGAAAATAATTGAAGTGATAAATATTTCGTGCAGAGAAATAACTGAAATGATAACAGGGGTGTTAGGAAAATGTGATTTTATTTTTCCCTGATTTCCAGACAGAACTTTGACTTTCTCCCTCACCCTAAAGAATATTTTAATTCACTCTCAAGATAATTAGATATCAAAAAAATGTTTTAAATGCATTTATTTTTTAATATCTTTAATTGTAAATTATATTAATTTCTAATTAAAATTTTTTAAAATTCAAATTTTCTAAAACTTTAATTTTAAACTTTTTAAAATTCAATCTTTATTTAAATTAGTAAAAATGTTTACTAATTTCAATTAGTTAATGACTTTTTGCTTTTAAATTAGCAAATTTTACTAATAAATTAGAAAAAATTACTATTTATTAGTAAAATTTACTAATTCAAATTTAGAGACATAGTTTTGTGATAAAATTATTGCAAAGGAAATTTAATAATTAATTTATTTTCCACATTTTTTGTGTATGTGAAATTTTTTATATTTTAAAAGATAAAATTTTTAATAACTTTGTAGGTAATTATATTAATTTTACTGATGCTTTTTGTAATTTTTGTAACTTTTTATAATTTTGAATCTGAAGTAGATACATTTTCGCATTGAATTTTATTATAATTCTTTTAAAATAATTTATTTCGAAGAATTTTATGGAAATTTTGTGAAAATAAATAAATTCTTTTATTTAAAAAATTCAATTAAAATTGTACTGAAAATAATTGAATTCTTTAGAGATATTTTATTAATATTATATTGAAAATAATTGAAATACAAATTAAATATTATTATTTATAGAAATAATTGAATTCTTTTGAAAAATTTTGTTATAGTTCAAAAATAATTGAAATTTTTCTAAAAATCTTATTAAAACTGTAAATAATTGAATTCCTGTGAAGAATTTTGTTATTTATTTAATAAATAATTGAATTTTTTTCAAAAAAATTTATTAAAACTGAAAGTAATTGAATTTCTTCGGAAAATTTTGTCATTTTTGAAAATAATTGAATTGATTCGAGAAATTCAATTCAAAATATATATTATGGAAAAAATTGAAATTCTTCGAGGAGTTTTAATTAAAATTAAATTAAATATTTATGAAAATAATTAAATTCTTGAAAAGAATTTTATAAAAACTTTTGAAAATAATTGAATTTCCACGAAAAAATTGTTTGAAACTGTAATTATAATCTTACGAAAAATTTAAGTAAAATTTTATTGAAATTAATTTATTTTTAAGAATTTTCTGGAAATTCTGTAAAAATAAAAAAATTCTTTTGGAGAATTTAATTAAAATTGAATTCTTTAGAGATATTTTATTAAAATTTGTATTAAAAATAATTGATATATGAATTGAATATTATTATTTATAGAAAAAACTGAATTCCTGTAAAGAATTTTATTTTTTCAAATAATTGAATTCTTTCGAGAATTGTTATTAAAATTATATTGAAAATAAATGAAATATGAATTAAATTTTATTATTTACAAAAATAATTGAATTCTTTTCAAGGATTTTATTATAGTTCGAAAATAATTGAATATTTTTCAAGAATTCTTATTAAAACTGTAAATAATTAAATTCCTGTCAAGAATTTTTTTGTTTATTCAATAAATAAT